AAGTAATGATGGGCGCCTAGCAACAGAAGAGGCTCTATGAGGCGTCCTTGGAAACAGCCAACATCAACAATGTCAGAAAATTTTCAGTTTTATTTTATGCTTATAAAATCCAAACATATAACATTATATATCTTGCCCACATGCATGGACATGCAGAAAAGTCTTGTCTACAGATATACGGGGCACTTTTTTCCGATTACTGTTGTAAATAATTTTAAATTTTAAATTATGATGAGACGAGACGTATGTGTCTATGTTATTTTTTTTTAATGATTATTTTAACTCTGTTTTTATTCAACATGAATCCATTCCCTCTGGTTTTGATGGTATAAATAATGTGGTATAAATAATGAAAACACTAATTCTATGATAAGTCTCATACACATAAACGCAGAAATGGTAGAAAAAGAATTAAAACTATTGGATGTAAAAAAAAGTGCCGGCTATGATGATATATGGGATCCACCCATTATTCCTTTCCAGATGCTCAAAAGAATTAGCTACCCCAATTAACTACATATATAATAAATCAATTCAAACAGGCACATTCCCTGTTATATGGAAGAGAACTTTAATTACTCCAATACCTAAAAATGATAGGGTTGATGATATTACTCAGTATCGACCTATTGCTAAACTTTGTATACTTGGTAAACTATTAGAAAACATTGTCACGGATCAATTATCTTTCACCGCTTGTAATTTTATAACACCATATCAAATGGTTTTTTCCGAGGAAGATCTGTTGTAACTAACTTAGTAGCTTTTACTGGTGAGGTATTGAAAAATATGGATAAAAACTGCAATGTTTCATGTTTTCCGACCTTAAAAGCTTTCGATAAAATTAATCACGATATATAATTAAAAAAGCTTTGTGAAGCCGGAATACATGGTGACCTGTTTCGTTAGATTAAATCGTATATAAGTAATAGATCCCAGGCAGTTTCCATTAAGGGTTTTGTCTCAGATTTTCAGATTGTAACATCAGGAGTTCCTCAGGGATCACACCTAGGCCCCTTATTGTTTTCCCTGTATATCAACGATATTCATACCTGTCTAAACAATAGTAAGCTTGTTTTATATGCAGATGATGCAAAATTTATAAAGTTATTAGGAATGAAAACGATTATTTTCACTTTATAAATTTTGCATCTGAATGAGTTGCACTACAAAAAGATATTAAGAATTTATCCAAGTACTGTTTACACAATCAACTATTTTTGAAACTATATAAATGCTTTATTTTAAGTTTTACTTGAAAACGTAAGCCGGTCACATTTACATACAAACTAAACAAATTAAATTCGAGATCTAGGTGTACTATTAGATAACAAACTTTCCTATATACAACATTATGATCATATTATACAGAAATCTTATTATCATCTCGGATTTCTGCTCAGAGTCTGTAAACCATTTAAAATAGAAGCTACATATAAAACTCTTTATTTCTCCCTGCCCCTCTAGCATGACCTCCGAAACGGGATATGATATAGCAATCTAACGGCATTAACTGTCAGACTACTATGGAGTTTGACAGTAGTCTGACAGTTAATGTCGATATATCGCTTTATCATATCCCGTTTCGGTGGTCATGCTAGAGGGGCAGGTGCGTTCAATCCTGGACTTTAGCTCTGTAGTCTGGTGCCCCTAATACTCATGATCATGACACATAAATAGACTAGAAAACATACAAAAAAATTTTTTTTGAAATCTTTAGCGAACACAACAGGGGTCCCTTTATTCATCTTAAAACGATTCCCTTAAAAGCACAAATTATTGCCCTATATTCCCGACGGTTACAATTTGATCTTGTATTCTTATATAAGTTGATACATAGTATTATTGATTCCCCTTACCTACTTGAAGAAATAAAACTTAAGATACCATTGAAAAGTGTTTGCAGGCCTAAATATACCTCAAATGCCTTTTTCCAAATTTGTTTCACTGCATATAAACAAGTTGCTCACATAGATATCTTTTGTCCAAATCCAGATGAACATGATTATAACACGTACTTTTAGCGATTTTAGAAATAAAAATCTATGCCATGTTTCAAGCCCGCCTTCCAAATCATAATAGGACCCGCCAGATTTCGTGTATTTTTTTTTAACTTTTTAGTTCTATTTTCGATTTTGAAGTCAGTTGTTTTCATTTCAACCCCTGTACCCCTAGCACGAACCATTATCGAATTCGAATAGTTTGTAAACCGAAATGTCAATGCCAAATTTTGTACGGAAACTTGAACAGCAGCGCCACAAAGCACGTAACGGGAACTAAAAATCAATACACATTTGACAATGACATTTCGGACTCGCAGACGATACGAATTCGATATTGGGTCGTGTTAGGGGTACAGATAAAAAGAGCGGTAGGTACATAAAGTGTCGTGATAATTTCGTCGTCTAATCTAAGTAAACAAAAATGCGCATAAATTGAAAACTAATTGGTCAAACTGAATTAAAAAATTTATGGGACTAAATGGCAACTCTGCATGCGGAAAAAAAAATGGTTGCCTGTAAAGTCGGTTTTACGGGCGAAGATTTTACGTGACAACGTCTTTTTCTCGGTAGAAGATTTATTGATATGAATATAATTAAATTGCACAATAGGAACAAGGAATTGAATGAAAATAAGAATTGCACAAATTTTAACTATAGAAATATATTTTGTTTACTAAAACATTGTACATGTAAACTTAAACTTAACACGAGAGACTCATCGTAACGTTACCGAGCGTTACACTTTTTCATAAGTGACTCCCAGCCGCAACCTAATTTAAGACGTTGTCACGTCAAAAAATAACGTAAATCGGATCAGAAATCTCCGTGTACATTCATAAAAAAATATACGGACAGAATGGAGTATTTGAGAACATTCTCTTTTTGAAGACGGTTAATAAGTAGGCCATGTTTGCCAAATATAAGATATGTCCATATAAGAACTTCAAATAAAATAGAAAATGTTTTCTGAAAAAAATATTGAAATAGAAAATGGAAATAGGTATTATGTATTTCAAATAATGTTATTTATAAAATGTCTCAGCTCTTCTCTTAAGTTTTTCGTGGTTTTTGGCACAGAAATCTCTTTGTGGAATTTGTATTCTTGTGAAATCTGGGACCAGATTATAGCTCGTATTCCCCAACTTGAAAACTCATGCAGATTCTGTGCTATGCCGTGTGAAAGCTCTAACCAATATGCAAAAATCAAAGGGGTTGAAAAAGTCGCGCGGGCACCCTCAGGCAAGGCACGCGGAAGACGAAGTTCAAGGCGTCCACTTCTATCTATAACTAGCAGTGTCCGCGACTTTGTCTGCCCCAGTCTGGTAGATTGATTTCCCATACAAACTTCTACCTCCATTTCACCCCCTTGAAGGATGATTTCTAGGTATCAAAACTATCCCATGACCTTTTCCCGGGACTTCAACTACTTATATTTTGACCAAATTTCGTCTAAATTGGTTCAGCGGTTTAAACGTGAATAATATAGATAGCTGCTACGCTTCCCTTGCCAGAGATAATGATGTTAATGGACTGGTGTTTAGTTTAGGGTAACCGGATGGCAAAACTGAACCGCGTGTTCCGAACCTGAACCGCATTTGGCCATTTCTTTAGTTCAAATTAGCTCACGCTGGTCCCAGGGACGTGCTATTATATCTGGCGCAGTCACTTACGATTTACACCTCTGCCCAACTCCCCCCACAATACAGGTCTGTAACGAATGCCTTCTTCTTCTGCGGCTTCTTGCGGCTTCTGCCGCCTCTGGCAGCTCTTGCAGCCGCCCCTATGGCCGGCTAATGCCCCTTTTAGCCCTAGAGTAAATACGCCCCTGTGATATATAATATATAGCCACATTTCTCTAACCGACTATGAGCTTTATCATGTGATAAGATTTTCAATATGTACTGGGGTCCCATAAATATCTTGTTTGTATAGTTGGTTGCTCGTGGGTTCGACCGAGTGTTGCCAGGTGTCCCGATTTGCGCGGAACGTCCCGATTTTCAGGGGTCTGGGGACGCGTCCGGATTTGAACCTGATCGGCACGCTAAATGTCCCGATTAATCAAAAAATTAAATTTAGTTAATTAATATAATACTATATTTGCACGCTTTACAATGCTATAAATTAAACCCAGACTTCAAAAACCCCTTGTTTTTTGTTTCTGTCCCGATCTGCAATCCTAAATCCCGATTTTTTGACATCATGTACCGATTTAAAACAAATCGGACTTGGCAACACTAGTTGTCCCACTAGACCCCCATGTAGAATCTGGAACAGTTACCTATGTATTTCGAGCAGTAAACGTAGATGAGCGAGTTTACTTGTTCCGATACTGATATTGCAAAGTGTTAAGTGTAGCAAAAACAAACAGCAGGAACGAGCATAATAGAATAACGTTTACGCGGAACGCTTAGTAGGCGTGATCGGCGTGAAATTTCTTTTTCATAACCAATACATAGTGAACACATAACATACGTCGCCGGGCGTCAACACATTGCGGTTGACGCGAAAGTAATTATTTCTTGTACGCCATGTTGCATCGCTCGCTACGAAGGTGAGGTGACTGACATTCGCGCTCCACAATTTTCCGCTAGCTTCATGATGTCTTGTATCATTTGCTGTAATTGTCGTTGAACTCTTAATTAATTTCTTTATCGGATTATCAAGTGTGGAGATAGCTCCACACTTGATAATCCGATAAAGAAATTAACAAAGCTGTTTAGACATAGGTCTAAACAGCTTTGTTAATGAATAATTATTTACACTAATCTTTAATATCAAAAATATTTTCACCTCATTAGTATGTAGATTAGGTCTACTGTAATAAGCGTCACAAAATGCTAATAGCATGATAAACAATGTGCTACAGGCATTTATTAAATTTCATAATGAATAACGAATCATGCTTATACATTTATAATGTAATAATTACTCTCGTACGTTTAAAACCCGACCCGGAATATAATTTCAAGTGAAAAACAAAACGCAAAAACTATCACAGTGGCATCCATTTACTCATAATCACACACAGATTTTACGATTCTGCACATAAATCAATAATTTACAGATCCTACATAAGGTTAAAATATCTATTATTGCCTAACTATAATTTTCACAAATATTTACAACAATAATATACTTAAATAGTTCTTGGGAAATTAATTACAATGTTCGAGTTACGAGTTTTTTGTCAATTGGGTTGTGGAGCTAGATTCTGATGTGGTCGTGTCTACATTGTCGGACCGCGACTGGAAACCTGTAAATCCCGTGTTACCATGCACTGTCACTGTATGTTCAGGGGTATTTGTCGCTGATGCCGGCGAGACGCTCACGCTACTGCCAAAGTAGTCGTTGTAATTCGGTGACGTGACATAAACGGGCACTCGGATGGGATACGGAACTTTAACCGGCACTGGCACTTGCTTTTCTACAGGATAAGGCTTTGGAATATACACGGGCACTTTTTTCTCAACTTCCACCTTCTGCGGAACATAGATTTCAACAGGTACAGGTATTCGCTTCTCGACTTCGACCGGGTAAGGCACTTTCTTCTCTACCGGGACAGGCACATTGACAGCGAAGGGCTGAGGGAAAGGCACCTTGACGGGAACGTGTTTGACCACTTCCACCGGCTCTTTGACCTTCACTTCAACGGGGACGGGAACTTTGGTCTCCACCGGGTAAGGTTGAGGCACTAGAACTTTCACTGGGACCGGGTACGGTACCTGCTTCTCGACTGTAACTGGAACGGGACGATCTACAGGCACCCGCACCTCCACAGGATATGGGACTTTCTTCTCAACAGTCACGGGAACGTGGTGCACCACCGGGTACGGTTTGGGAACGTATTCCTTTTCCACCACTTTGTAAGGAACTGGGTGCGGTACCTTAATACCGATGGGATAAGGCACCTTTTTTTCCACTGTCACCGGGTATGGCACCGGTTTCTCCACCACTTTTATTTTCTCGTAAGGGACGGGTACTTTCTTCTCCACTGTAACGGGATACGGTTTCGGAACCTCCACTTTGTATGGAACTTGAACTGGTTTTTCTACTGTTTTGATGTACCTGTGGTGGTGGTGGTGATGGTGATGTTTGACTTTAGTGATGACTCGTGGAGGATGGCTATGTTTATGAACATGACTTCCTTGCGCTTGAAGATCTCCATAAATGTATTGGTTCATAGCAGGGTTGCGATAGCCAGGATTACCATAGCCAGGATAATAAGGATTCGATTGTCTCTTATTTTTGACATATGCCATCTTTTTTCTCAAAATGTCCGGTGACTCTTCGTGTTCTGGCTCTTGCTCTGATTCTTGCTCTTCTAAATTTGGCATTGGGACCAGTCCAAATGATTGCAAATATAGCATTCTCTTATTGATCGGGGGAACCTCTGGATTACTGAGCGATCGTTTGTTGCGTGAATGCTGAGGTCGTCTATATTTATAGTGAGAGGGAACGATTGGCACCCAATCGTTATTTTCGAAGTCTGTTATATTAATAGCTGGAGTGGTGCTTCTTTTCTTCGGAACCCTCGTCACTGGCCGGTAAGGACGTCTAGTTGGGTAACTCTTCGGCAGAGAGTCATTCTTAAAAATATAACGGACTCTAGTAATGCTAGCCGATTGTTGATAATCTGATTTGTGTGTGATATTCGTTGGATTCGTGTAGTTCGCAGTTTTGTTACTGTAAAATGATGTAGTATTCATTTTCTCCAGAAATTTCTTTGGCCATATTCGCTTAGTCCTCAAGTATCTCTTCGTAGTAGTCAGTGACGCCACTGTGGTGGTTCCAACGCTCGATTTGGACTTGTCGATTTTCGGCAGTTTCGCGATATCCTTGCGCACACCAGTGATAGTTTGGACCGGTATGCTGAATTTGGGGGGTTGTGTCGAAACTGTATTGTTGTTCGCGGCATATATAACCGTAGGTCGGGGCGGTTGTTTCACGTAGTAATGATTTGTGTGGTGTGGCAAAGGGATGACTTTTGGGAAACTGAACAAAGAGTTTTGTGTCTGATACAATCTCACAGGCTGAGAGTATTGCGGCCGCGACTGGATCTGTTGTATGCTGCCGTAGTATTGTCTTTGAACGTCCACATAATATTTGTGTTGTCCCGGTTTGTCTGGGAAGATGGGTGGTTTGCTTGGCGGTCGTTGCTGGGGTTTTTGGTTATTGGTGACTGTTACGGTCGGCGGTTGGGTCGGTTCAGGCTGCTTGGCTACGTACTTGGGGCCGTCTATAGCAGTCAAAGCGTTCCTCTTGGTCTCCGCGACGACCAAGTCCGACTTAACGAGTCCATCATCTTCGACAGTCACGCTTTGTCCATTATTGACGACGATCAATAACGCGATGATCAAGAATGCCGTCTGAAATGAAAATATACTTTTAAAACATTTAATGCCAAAATAGTTAACATACAATACTCGCGTGATTATGTGAAACAAAAATAAAAACTTACTAAATTAATAATGACTTCAATTAAATTTGACAACAGTTTATCCTTGTCATTCTCTACACAGAATCAAAAGGAGTAACTGATGTTAAATTTAGTTTCAGGTTAAGAGAATCACGCTAGAATCAACACAATTATTAGAGCTATTAACGGGATTGTTACCTTGTTTTTTATGAGTCTCCGATATTTCGGCACTGTTGCAAGCGCCATGATCACGGAGTAACTGACCAGTTATTCCGTGATCATGGCGCTTAATAACGCACGGAGTAACTGACCAGTTACTCCGTGATCATGGCGCTTGCAACAGTGCCGAAATATCGGAGACTCATAAAAAACAAGGTAACAATCCCGTTAATAGCTAAAATGTTAGTGAAAGTTTAAAACAATATACGTCGTTATTTGGATATATGTGGTATATTATATATTCTCCTACAGGTATTTTTATATGTAGAAACTTACTTTGTTAAGATAAGATAAAACGGTCACCTTACAAAGAGGAGGGTACTGGTGCACTGAGATACAAGCTTTCGCTTAGTTCAGGTACCAGTCTCTCGCAATCTTATAAAATATCCTAATATAGTTTTTAATTATAAGATGTAACATGTAGATTGTTGGAGAAAATAAATAAAGTTATTATTATTATTATTAGAATAAGCAAGTGGACAATGGTGTCGATTTTAGCGTGATTCTCTAAACTTAAAACTAAATTTATAATCTTTCTATCCTTTTCATTCTGTATAGATAATGACAAGGCTACACAGTTCTCAGAGAATCATGCTAGAATCGATACCACTATCACTTTAGAATTTATTATCACTGCTTCGAAGCAGTCGAGAACATTTGTATGGAAAAAACACTGCCCCCCCCCCCCCTCCCCGCTTAAGTCTTATACATACACACGCAGTCATAAGATATATATTATACCAAAGTCAGATAAAAATGTTACAATACAGGTAGTACATTTTTGCTATTTGAAGATTTGCTTTAAAATAAAACATAGAACTCACAAGCTGCATCGGAGACGTTATTTTTAATGCTTCAGTGATCAAAACACGACTCTTTGTCTATAACTATCGCTTTAATTAATTAAACTAACAAAATAATTGACTACTTTGAAGTTTGAATGCAGCAATAAAACCTGAACCTATCGATTCATACGGAAAAAGTAATTCAAGCATTGAATAAAAAACCTGTTTAACAAACTTTTACGCTTCATAAAAATGTGCGTGCGCAAAACGGAGTCACGCAAACCGTCTTCCGTGTGTATATTATTAGGTCACTTTTGATGAATTGTACTGAGGTGTGGAAGGATCCATGGCTTCCTTGTTATACAAGAGGTGGGGTGCGAAGAAAACTTAGGAAGTTATGTTTACCTGTTAACATAGAAAACAATGCTAACTACTAAAGTACCTACCTACTTACTTAGTATATGTTTGTTATCAGAATCGAATCCGATAATCTAATATGGGGCCATTCATTTATTACGACCTCCGTAGCCGAGTGGTTTGTACGCCAGGTTTCATGGTGTCGGCGACTCGAGAGGTCCCTGGTTCGAATCCCGGTAGGGACAGATGTTTGTGTTATGAATACTAGCATTTATACTCCAGTCATGAATGTTTAATATATATTTTTATATAAATATACTTATCTATCCGTTACCCTAGTATCTCATTACACAAGCCTTACAGTGCTTACTTTGGAGCGAGGCTAATTGGCGTGAGAGTTGGAAATATTTATTTATTATGTAAGAAGTTCTCTAGTTTTTAACTCCTCTTTTCCCTTGCATAAGAACAAAATAAGAATATTCCCAGCAGCCACCCCCCTGTTTTATATTCATTACGTAAGAATCTTAAGGAATAAATTGATACCTACACATTTGATTTATTCTAATACAGTAAAACCCGTTTAAATCGATTTCACAGGGACTCAACCAAAAACGCGTCTTAAGCGGGAAAGGGTATTAAGCGGGATTGTGGGATAGGGAAATTACGAATGTAGGTATTGAGGTATTAAATGTACAATATTTGAGAATTATGTATGTCATAAGAAATGTAGTGTATTATTATTTATTATTATAATCACTTATTTTTGTTTGTCAAAAAGATTTTGAGGCACTAGCAATTACAAGATTTTCAACATAATTTAACTTTTGCAGTGCGTCTCCGCTTTGATTCAAAGAAGTTACATATTGTCTTAAATCATTAACTGCTGATAATGGTTGGGCGTGTGATAAAATCAGAGTTGATTCATCTTTTTCTTGATCATTATCACTTAGGCCCTCTTCTTGTGTGTTATACACATTCTCATTGAATTTTATGCTGCCGCAAGAGGTAATATGGGTGGTGCGTGTTGGCGATTCAGGCGTATTAAACGGGATGAAGAATCGTATTAAGCGTTTAGAAATGTATGAAAACATGTCTGAAGTTGCAGGGACTGACGAAAAATGGCGTATTATGTGAGAAATCGTATTAAGCGTGATCGTATTAAACGGGTTCTACTGTATTTGCTTTCAAAGTACCAATTTTAAGATACATTTATTTTTCTTGTGGATGTGAAAGTCTTCCCAACAGTTTTTGACAGGTGGAAGCGATGATCACTCAGCTATTTACTAATCCACTACTACTTAATTATAACACCACTTAGATACTTGTCCTGAACAGCATCCATGGATATGATAATTTTCATTTCAGTAACACATTGTAAATGTCAAAAAAGTTAGCAAATAGCCCTACTGATCAATGGTCACTCTTCTTTATTTGACAATCGTAATTAGACTTGCAACGAATAGTATATTCGGCAGTATACCGAATATTCGGCGAGGCCCCTGACAGAATAGTCGAATATTAGGCAAAAATATTCGGCTGGATTTTAGCGCCAAAAACTTGTACAGACGTGATTGTTGCGCGCTCCTTTGTTTTGTTCTAATCTGCCGTCCTCAAGCTAAAATGCGACTAAATGACAAAACCAACTTTTGAGATATTGCCAAAAACGGTGCGGAAACTTTAAATTATTGCTATTATGTAACCATTCATCACATGACTGAATGAATTAAAAACTGTTAACTTGTTTAATACAGAAAATTATTAAATTATGTACCAGTGACTACTAAACAAATGATTATAAAAGAAATGATAACCTTACCCTTCTAAATTTTGATTACCACAATAATTCAAAAACATAGAATCCTCCATTTTTCCAATTCAGAAGATGATTATGTACCTGTGTTATGTACCAATGACTTCTTAAATGATTATATATAACAGAAATGAAAATATGAATATATACGTAATCAATCGATTTTAATTTTTCATATTTGTTTCTTAGGTTTTCACGCACATCACTCATTAAATATTCATTTTACCAATTATTTCTCTATGACAAAATATATTATTTAAGTATTCGGCATTCGGCCGAATAATATGTAAATATTCGGTATTAGGCCGAATATAATAAAAGCATCCGAATAGGCCGAATACCGAATAGTAACCGAATATTCGTTGCAAGTCTAATCGTAATACCTATCTGAGAATAATTTTTAATTTAGACAGTTTGATAATTATCTGTTGTCAATGACGATAACGTAGCGTGGATTACTGTTTTCGCCCGGGGATGTTTTTTTTTCTAATTAAGTATAGTAAAGTTTGCAACCTTTCTGTCTGTGGCTTTTTCCGTTTGACACATAAATTTAAAAATGCCGCTTAGGTCAAACCGCTATGTCACTGTCTTTTATTTATTTATATATTCTTTATTACCATAAAAAGAGGTAACATTATTTTGTGTTCTCTATCAAAACTTTAAAAGGTTTGTAAACAAGCTAAATACCGGAAGTTACGATTTGTTTCTTTTTAAACTTGAAACTTTTATTACATCGCCATATTTTTTTAGTTCAGCTTTAGTATGTTCGCATTACACTTTATTAATTACATTATTATTAATTTAACAGACGTCATCAATAAGCATTAGTGGTTCATTGGAAGAAAGCTATCTAGGCAAAAAACCCCGGGTTCGATTCCCAGCCGAGGAAGAACTTTATTTTATTACTTATTGATTTTAAAAATTTCACTCTCATCGTAGTTTCATAAAAGCGCACCATTTTTTTTATTATAGTTTTGATTTACCTTAGTAGGTAGGATAGGGAAATTACTAATTAATTAGTAGTAGGTTAGTAGTTTAACTAGAATCTACTTAATTTAAGCACTTACTTGAATAGAAAAATCAATATGTATGTCCTAACATTTAAATAAGTGAGAAGTTCAGAGTTTTTTTATAAATACAAATTATAATAAATACCTATAAATGTATTGGACAAATATGGAAAGTTTAAAAATATTTCGATTAAGGGCCAACAATATTATGATTATGATAAAATAAATAAGTAATAAAACGATAATTTATTTGAAATATTCAAGGGTCTTAAAAAACTTACTATTAAAATAAAACAATGTATTTTTTTTTGAGTAACTATAAAAAAACAATTACTGGTTTCTATTAAATAAAAATAAAATACAATACATACACGAACACGCCACAGAAAATACATACTTTCTTTTTTCACTTGATTCTTTACCATAAGCACTAATGAATGATCCACACTAACAAAATAGTTCACTTGTAACCACTTTTGATTTTACATTAACACTCGGTATTATTGCACTGTCTTTCACCATTTCTCGCGTGTCGTATTAATTCACTTTCCGTAGATTTATCGACCAAGTTTGCATGAGTTTGTCACATAAACGCCACATAATAATTTTGAAAAACTTCGGGGAGAAAAATAAAAAATGGCGCCATAATTCTTCCCGCACTTTTTTGCGTTTCGTAATTGCTGTACCTACCGATATGTGTTGCATAGTGTTGCGCCTACGACTAATCACAGCGTGCGCGTAAGTACGTAATGATGGGCCGAGGAAGCGCCACTCACTTATATAGCATTTCTGTAATGGGTGACTAGGTTTCGGGACGCTAGCTTTCGCCGACAAGCCCAAATATTCAGCCCCTACATATTGTTGGTACATTTCCTCTTATCACCTGCAACGATTTTTTGCCAATTTAATAAGTACGGACGGACCCAAGATTAAAACTTCGATTCGGCGACTTCGACTGGCATTAATCTGATCTTACCTGTCTGTCTGGGTCATCTCCTTACCATCTAATCATAATCAAAATCATTTATTCAGTTTAGGCTGTTACAAGCACATATGAATGTCTAGAAGTTACGAAAGTTTTTTTTCATTTTTTAAGTTGAAAAATGACTTCAGAGATGATTCATGAAATCACCTTTCATTACATTATGTTATATTATACACTAATTGTTAACCTGCATATTGATTGCTTTGTCACACTAATAGAGTTATTTATAAAAGGTGTAACCAAACATTTACATCTTAAATATCAAAGTAGGGCAGACTCATCTCCGCTGGCAGCACCCGTTCACGAGCATGACGCATGAACCAGACATCGCTTCGCTCAACCATATTTTAGGGAACACAACGACCCGCCTCACACGACACCACCGAAGAGACTTTTAAGAGAGCATGATTACCCATAACCACCTATATCAACCACAACATATTTACTTAAAATTAAAGTAATTTATCTGTAGGACACTGCAAACAATTAGAAAGCAAAACAATGGAGAATTCATGACCACGCCGTTTTGTCATTCAAATGTTCTTAAATAGTCTAATATTCTTCCTTAAGTAAAATATCTTCCTTAAATATAATATTTTACAAAAGACTACGTAGGCTGTAGAGCCAAAAATAATTATTGTGATGTGTTCACGTTTTCCTTCAGGGAGAATGGTCGTCAGGGCAGTGTCCCAAGAGAAAGGAGATATAAGCAACAGGAACCCTTTTCCTCAGCTTGGACTCCATGCAAATCTTTCATTCATCAGATGACATTCCATTTGCCACTTTGCCAGGTCATCTAGAGAAAGCTATTTCTAAGCTAAAGGTTGCTTAAGGCGGTATTTTTTTACTTTGTTAAAAAAAAAGTTATACGTTTCGCAGGTACTTACATCCGCCAAGGTCACAAGTCCCCAAAACCTCTCTGTCTCACCAGGCAAACATGGTGGACTACGGGTAAGAAAGGCTAAATTCTTGCCCTGTGCTAAAACACATCAAAATCAATAACTCCCAAGGTACAATGAAAAAAACTTTATACCTACCTATGGAATACGAACTGCACTAAAAAGAGAATTCGTCGTCCAGTCATCGTGTCGAATATTGCTTCGGGTGCCCGTATTCGAGTAATGTCTTTTTTGTGCACCCGAATACGGGCTAACCACCAAATTTCTAAGAAACAAAAAGGTATATATAATATGTTCGCGATGTGTACCTATATAATAAAAAATATCCCTATCAGAGGCTGCTTCACCTATAGTGATAGGACTGCATTGCACACGGGCATAGCTGTCTTAGATGTCAAGCGCCACTCGCCAACATAACAATTTGACTGCGCGTTTACTAGAGGGCGCTAGGGTAATAATTGCACACTAGCGCTACAGACATGAGCTATTTAAAAACGCTTGATCCATATTAGGTTTAGTCAAATATTTTTAACACACACCTATTAGCCTAGCTTCAAAGTAAGCACTCTAGGCTTGTGTTATGGGATACTAGGGTAACCGATAGAATATATATACTGATACCTCAGACCAAATAAAAAGTATAGACGGAGTCTGCCAAACAAAAAAGTGAAGCCGATTAAAACTACGCCTCGCCGTGTACATACACAGTTACACGCACACACATGCAACGAAACTACGCCTCGGCTTCCCAGTCGAGCTATCCCGGCGCGCGGAGTGTGACGTAATAATAAAAAACAATATTTATTAGAGAAAATGCCGAATTGTGTAGTGAAAACGTGTAGAAACCAATCTTCCAAGAATAAAAAACAGGATGGAATCACATTTCATACGTAAGAAAAATTATAAACTAATATTTTCAATTAATCAAAATCAAATTTGAGGTTGTCGCTTTGTAAACAAAACCTGAATGAAATGCTGCCATGATTATACGTTACAGTTTTACCCTTTTGTTGGGTAGCGTGAAATATAACGTAACGTTATTTTATTAAATACATTGTGTAGCATACTTTTATATTATTCGAATATTGTAATGCATGGATAAACAATTACACCAAACATCTTTATTATCTTTTTTCTTTATGTATTCGTATAATTTTTTTGGGATGTAATACAAATTATATATTATACGTTTTTTACGATTTCCTAATCGAGATCAAAATCTAAAAGAGAAGTGGATTGCAGTCATTCGTAAGAGTAGAAATGAACCATTGTGGCAACCAGCTTCCCGCAGCGTGGTTTGTTCGTCTCATTTTCAGAGCGACGATTTGTACTACACAAAAAATGATGTGGTGTCGTGGGACACCAGGTAGGAACGAAGTTCCTTCGGCTAATGTAGAATCGACACAAATTGCAAACTCGCTTGTGTATGCGACTGTCGCGCCTGCGCACGTCTCGTTTAACGGTTTTATTCCATGCACTTTTTTCCACGGATTTTTTCTTACGGTTTTACTATCACATTATTTTCAGTTCGGTCGCGCAGCAAAATCCCTATCCCCTCCAAGCCTGCCGTAAGGAACTTCGTTCCAATAAACTATAATGTCACAATAATCCAGTAATGCAGTCCCGTCGCTCTGCCACCCCCCTGGACTTAACCACAGTTTAGTATAATATACGACAATAATCCAGTGTTGGTATAATGCCACAATAATTTGGGGTTGCACCCCCGTCGCTCTGTCACCCCCTGTTAAGTACTGACCTTGTTATCATGTCTAGCTTAAGTTTACAGCAGATGACAGGCGTTCCTGGTCCACAGCTCGGTATAACGTCACAAATATCCAGATTTCGTGTAATGTCACAATATTCCAGTGCTGCACCCTCGTAGCTGTGGCACCCCCTACATACGCACCTTATTATCATGTCCCGCTAGCGTTCGTAAAGGATGCTAGGCAGGACTGGCCCACAGTTTAGAATAAACTACAATGTCACAATAATCCAGTGATGCACCCCCGTCGCTCTGCCACCTCCTGATAAGTACTCACCTTGTAATCATGATTATGTGTCACAGGCGTTACTGGTCCACAGCTTGATATAACTTCACAAATATCCAGTGTTGGTGTAATATCACTATATTTCAGTGATGCACCCTCGTCGCTCTACCACCCCCTATAACTTCACACATATTCAGTGTTGGTGTAATATAACAATATTTCAGTGATGCACCCTCGTCGCTCTACCACCCCCTATAACTTCACACACATTCAGTGTTGGTGTAATATCACAGTATTTCAGTGATGCACCCTTGTCGCTCTACCACCCCCTATAACTTCACACATATTCACTGTTGGTGTAGTATCACAATATTTCAGTGATGCACCCTTGTCGCTCTACCACCCCCTATAACTTCACACATATTCACTGTTGGTGTAGTATCACAATATTTCAGTGATGCACCCTCGTCGCTCTACCACTCCCTATAACTTCACACATATTCAGTGTTGGTGTAATATAACAATATTTCAGTGATGCACCCTCGTCGCTCTACCACCCCCTATAACTTCACACATATTCAGTGTTGGTGTAATATCACAATATTTCAGTGATGCACCCTTGTCGCTCTACCACCCCCTATAACTTCACACATATTCAGTGTTGGTGTAATATCACAATATTTCAGTGATGCACCCTTGTCGCTCTACCACCCCCTATAACTTCACACATATTCACTGTTGGTGTAGTATCACAATATTTCAGTGATGCACCCTTGTCGCTCTACCACCCCCTATAACTTCACACATATTCACTGTTGGTGTAGTATCACAATATTTCAGTGATGCACCCTCGTCGCTCTACCACTCCCTATAACTGCACACATATTCAGTGTTGGTGTAATATCACAATATTTCAGTGATGCACCCTCGTCGCTCTCTCTCCTGCCGTAAGGAACTTCGTCGCGCCCAGGGCCGTGCCTGGGTATATGGCCGCCTGCGTGCCAGTCTGTATGGCCGCCCCCAGGATAACATTAAAAAAAACTACTTTAATTTTTAATGTTTATTATTATACACAGGGCATCAAACCGGGGAAAAAATCAGTTTTTGGTTAACCGAAATCGAGAACGAAAAAAAATATTGGTTTTGTTCCCAAAACCGGTTTCTGAAAAGAAAAACCGGCTAAAAACCGGTTTTATGAGATTTATATGTTTGGATGAAATTTAAGAAAAAAAATGCACAAAATAAACATTTTTTTATTTAAAATTTAAACAAAAATAATAACATGAAAAAAATTATGGTATTGGTTTTATAATCACAGACAAAATTATCAAACATAAAGAACAAGGAATAACCCTTAAATCTATACTAACATATTAGGATAACAAAGCTCAGTGGCCAATGGCAGATCTGGGCTGACTTGCAACTTGGGAGGTATACAAAATAGAATTAATTTACTTACTTTAATAATAACATGAAAAAAAGTAATTATGGTATTGGTATTATAATCACAGACAAAATTATCAAACATAAAGAACATAGGAATACGATAATTTAAAATCCTAGGTGTCGCTCAGTGACAATTTAAAATTATTTGATTTTAAAAAATCAAATCTTACGTATTATTTATTGATATTGAAAATAGTAAAGGTTTTTGGTTAATTAACCGGTTTCATAAAATTATTTCGGTTAGGTTACCGGTTAATTAGGGAAATCTTTCAATCTTTCAATTATCGCGATTGAAAGTGAAATTGCTGAATCTTCACGAAGCAATTATTAAATAAAGTACATATTAAATGAAATAATGAAAACAAACCGATTGTATTTTTGCCCAGTAAACAACTTGTAACGATTTGGCCGCCTCTTAATTTCGGCCGCCTGCGTGCGGTGCACGCAATGAACGCCCGTCAGGCACGGCCCTGGTCGCGCCTGCGCACGTCTTATTTATCGGTTTTATTCCACGCATTTTTTCTAACGTATCACATTTTTTTCAGTTCGGTCGCGCAGCAAAATCCCTATCCCCTCCAAGCCTGCCGTAAGGAACTTTCGTTCCAAAAAAGGGTTACGTCGTGTAAAATAAAATGCATATCCAAGGGTATTTTTTTTTACTTAACTTAATATAGTTACTTAGGTTAATTTATATTTTAAAGATTCCAATAATTCTTCAGTCGTGCTGACGGTTGAAACACAAAATTACACCAATTTTATTTCACAATATTCACTATGAACGAATTAAAGAATAATTAAAATATGACGCTAACCGCACTCCATGAAATCCCGCCAAAAACAAAGCTTAAGCTTTATTTTTATTATATATTTTTTAACTAAACTTTTATTAGTGTAACAGTTATTAAACTTATAAATCACAGGAACCCCAGATCTCCAAGCGCAGGACCTTTGGCTCACGAGAGGTTGGATCTAGGGCTAGTGCAAAACTAATCTGGACTAGTTTAGAGAATAAGCCTACGATAGTTTTTTCTAATATTTTATAATGTTATTAATATTTCTAATATTGGGGTATTATAAATGACTATGGTAACACTGGCTAATGCACTTCATACATAAAAAACCGGCTTCACTTTTTTGTTCGGCAGACTCCGTCTTTACTTTTTATTTGGTCTGAGACTGATACATAAATAAGTATATTTATATAGAGATACATATTAAACATCGAGTACAAATGCTCGTATTCATCACACAAACATCTGCCCCCACCGGGATTCGAAACAGGGACCTCTCGAGTAGGCGCACCTTTAAACCCGGCGCACAAACCACGCGGCCACGGAGGTCTTCCGAGTCAAATATTTATTTTATTGAGAGCGATTTAACCGATTTCATCCATCTTTTATTAAAATTTTCTGATAAGTACTTTCTTTAAATAATTTCTCTTTCTTAAGTTTTTTAATACATACAAATTAGAAGGTGCCTATGGACAAAGAATAAGAAACTCACTCAGAAAAATTGACAGTTATAAGAAAACAACTTACTGTCATAATTTCTCATCTCGATAAGTGGCGCTGTAGTCGGGTTTTAGGATTTTTGTATATTTTTAACGTTTGTCGAGTCCACTTGTTTAAAATAAAATATTATACGACTTGATACATATTTTTGGTATCGCAAGCGTCTATACGCTATAGTGGTCGCTTCAGCTATCAAACGGACTATAAAGTATATAAAAACCGACCACCTAAAACTAAGGACAATTTCTATTTAAATCGATCGACTGGGAATCGAGTCGTGTCTTGGCTTCGGAAATCGTCATTATAATAAACTAGCGCAATAGAATAATTATGACAACGAAAGATTCTTGCAATTTGGTACAGTCTTTTCTATGTTATACAATTCGGAGATATTTTTTTCTAACACAAATAATAATACCTAATAATAATAAAAAGGTTACAGAAGGACACTGGTAATTTATCAACATAAATAACAATAACACACAATAACACAGTAACATTGAATATCCGTGCTTTTATTTTTATCCGTGCGGTGACGGAGAAAAAATACCACTCACCGCCCCTTCACTTCCCGCGGGTGTCGTAAGAAGCGGCAGAGGGATATCAGTTTTCATCTGCTCTTCTGGTGGTAGGGTGC